AAAAATTAAAAGAGTATATTGAACCATAGCTTGTAGTTTTATGTTGATTAATAACTGTTGGGGGCTCTGGGTGGCTCAGTCAGTTAAGCGACTGACTTTGGCTCAGGTCATGATCTCATGGTTCGTGAGTTTGAGCCCCACATTGGGCTCTGTGCTGACAGCTCAGAGCCTGGAGCCTGCTTTGGATTCTGTGTCTCCCTCTCCCTCTCTGCCCTTTCCCCATTCATGCTCTGTCTCTCAAAAATAATAAATAAACATTAAGAAAAATTAAAAAAAAAAAATAAACGCTGACAGCAAAACACCTGGGTGGCTCAGTCGGGTAAGCATTTGACTTTTGATTTTGTTTCAGGTCATGATCTCGTCATGGTTCTGGGATCGAGCCCCACATCAAGCTCTGTACTGACAGCATGGAGCCTGCTTAGGATTCTCTCTCTCTCAAAATAAATAAACATTTAAAAAAATAAATAAAACTTAAAAAAAAAATAACCTCTGGCAGCACACTATGGTCAAAATCATTTCCTACTTTCAGAAATTATTCACCATGAAACCAAAGATAAGAAAGGTCCTCAGATGAAAGGCATCATCTCATTTAACAAACAAACAAAAAAGAGCACAGATGTTACCACATATGTTTAAAATACCAACTGGAGGGGCACCCAGGTGTCTCAGTTGGTTGAGCATCCGACTTCGGCTCAGGTCATGATCTCACAGCTCATGAGTTCGAGCCCTGCATCAGGCTCTGTGCTGACAGCTCGGAGCCCTGGAGCCTGCTTCAGATTCTGTGCCTCCCTCTCTCTCTGCCCCAACCCACTTGCATTCTGTCTCTATCTCTTTCAAAAATAAACAAACATTTAAAAAAAATTAAAAAGTAAATAAATAAATAAAATACCAACTGGTATTTCAGTGATACCCAAATTACTGCCACCACAAGGCTGAGAACGCAGGTGCCACAGAACTGGGCCGTGCACATGCTCACATCCGTGATGCGACACCCACACGTCCGGCATGCATGGAAGGCCCTGTGCAACACCCAGTCATGCTACACACTACCCCATGTGTAAAAGCAGCTTCTTCTCAGGCTGCCTACATGTGCATTTACTTCCAAAAGGGTTCTGATTTCATCTGTAAGAACACCCCCAAGTTTCATTCCCAGAAGCTCCCTTCAGTGGTATCCATGGTTCTGTGGAAACCTACCCAGCTACTGAGGAAGAGACCAATACTGCCAAGTGTCACTGGAAACTCCCTCTAACACCCAGTCCTTCCTGTGACAGCCTGGACCAATGGTCTCTACCGGTGTGCACTTCAACCAAGAAAAGAAATCGCACGTTCCAAGACGGCCTATGACTCTCTTGTGTAATTTTTGGTTTGTTTCTCTGTGTTGAGGTCTTACCTCAATCATATCTACCCACTCTCGTACATTAAGAAAGGATTTCTCGCACGTCACATCATACAGCAACAGAACGCCATCTGCTCTCCTGAAGTAAGACTTGGCAATACTTCTGAATCTGGCAAAGAGAAAAGCATGTTAAGTAACGGTTCTAATCAGTCCACTGGGCAGGAGCTGCCCCTTCATCTTTTATGCTTTTTTTCTCATCTTCTAGAACAAGCCTCCCCTGAGAAGACTCTAACGGCAACCGTCACTGTGAAACAGCCACCTCCAAGGACTGGGATGTCTCAGCGGAAGGTAACTGAACAACAATCTGGGGTGCTAATCTACAAGAGCCAATCAATTTCTCCATCAAACTACCCCCAAGAATGTCTGCAAACCGTAAAACATAACCAGGACAAGGTTGAAGCATAATTTCTTAAAAATTTCAGCCTTGGCAACAAGCTCCTGAACCTACACGTGGGACACAGAAGAGGGAGGGAGATGCACAAGAGAGAAAATCTCCGTTTTGGCGGGGGTGGGGGGGTGTCACATGAAAGAAGAACAACGGCTGCAACAGACCAGAAACTGTATACACAGGGTGAGGGGCAGCTCGTGAGGGGAAGAGCATATACCTCAACGTGTATGTCCCAACTCTAAGCCAACTGCCCTATTTTATATTATCTTCAGTAAGGCCACATCAACCGTGAATGTTTTTTATTCCTTTTTTTAAAAATATTTTTTAAATGTTTATTTATTTTAGAGGGCAGGGGCAGAGAGATGGGGACAGAGGATCTGAAGCAGGCTCCATGCCGACAGCAGAGAGCCCGATGCGGGGCTTGAACTCACAAACTGTGAGATCATGACCTGAGTTGAAGTCGGTCGCCCAACCAACTGAGCCACCCAGGCATCCCAACCACAAATATTTTTTTGTTTTTTTTTAATTAATTTTTTAATGTTTATTTATATTTGAGAGAGAGAAAGAGAGAGAGAGAGAGAGAGAGTGCGTGAGTAGGAGGGATAGAGAGAGACGAAAACAGAGAAACTGAAGCAGGCTCCAGGTTCTGAGCTGCCAGCACAGAGCCTGACGTGGGGTTCGAACCCACGAACTGCAAGATCATGACCTGAGCCGAAGTCGGGTGCTTAACTGACTGAGCCACCCAGGCGCCCCATGAATGTTTTTTAAACGTTGAAACTCAGCCTGCTCCAGAATATGAGCTCCAGGTGAACAGCTTTTACATATCTGTGTCTGTTTACTGCTGAATCTTAGCAGCCTGAGTAGTGCCTGGTACACAGGCAGGCAGCATCCAAACTTAGTTGAACAACTGGAGAGATTCTATTTCCAAAGAGTTAGACAAGATTAAAACCTGTGCTTAATACTTATGGTCATTGGCAATGAATGCAAGATAAGGCAATGCCACCCAACATGAGTCTTCCATTTAGTTTGTGCCTCTGCCCCTGAACTGAAGGAAGCGGACAGATTCTCTTTTCCATCACTTACTGTACCCGACTAAGTACCTGCCCCCACTGATACTGCATTTGGACTGCTGGGTCACCTAAATTCCCTTGTTCTCTTTTTCCCAAGTCAACACAGGCTCAGAGGAAGCCTAAAGATCTCCACGGACAACTGACAGGTAAGTGAAGGAGGTAAGAATGTGGCAAAAAGTGCGCATTCCTGAAACTGTAATATAATTATATGATCACGAGTAGAAAAAAACACCAAGCACCTTAGGAGGCTTGTCTAGGCAAACCTAAGCAGAGCCCGAAGCACCAAAGCACTTGCCTCTCCTGACCAGCTGTATCCCAGAGCTGCAGGACCGTTCGCTCTCCATCCACAATGAGAGTTTTCATTTGAAAATCAACTCCTAAGAAGGAATTATAAGAGAACATGAGGGAACATGATGTAAATAATTCTATTGTTCTTTTACTCTCAAGCACTACTGGGATAAGAAAAAAGCCAATAAGCCCAAGCTCAGTGAGGTAAACAGGAATGAATGTGGCCTTCAAGGGGACTGACCTTCAGATACTAATTACAAGTCAGACCACACGTGTGCACACAGATGTACCATCTGCAGGTTGGCTGACTTGGGGAAGGATTTAATCTATGGACAAAAGGAAAATCTATGTTCTATTTGCTTAGGTAATCAGACAAACTCAGTTATGTCTCTGTGTTTGTGTGTGTGCATGTGTATGTGCTTGTGTGCACATAAACGTGCATATGTGTATGTATGTGCATGTGTATGAGTGTGTATACGGGTAAGACACACATACGTGCCATGCTCTTTAGCAACTGAACAAAACACTGCAGTCTTTTTATGAATCAAATTACAGTGAACTTTCAGCTTTGTTATCTTGAAGGGTATGTAACAAAGGACCATAAATTTACAAAGACACCCACTGTGAAGAGGGTAATCAATCTGTTCTAATATTTCTAGTTATCAAAATAAGAACTCTTAGATGAAGAACAAAAGTGAATGATAATTTGCATATCTTCAACCCTATTTACTGATTATTATGCAAATCTGGGAAATCAGGACACTTCTTTTCTTGTTCTCAGAAGTATTTACTCATGTATTCCATTGTAAAGGAGGGGAGGGATCATACACCTGCCTATGATTTTGACCATGACACACTGGCCATTAATAATGTCACTTTAGGGGCGCCTGGGTGGCGCAGTCGGTTAAGCGTCCGACTTCAGCCAGGTCACGATCTCGCAGTACATGAGTTCGAGCCCCGCGTCAGGCTCTGGGCTGATGGCTCAGAGCCTGGAGCCTGTTTCCGATTCTGTGTCTCCCTCTCTCTCTGCCCCTCCCCTGTTCATGCTCTGTCTCTCTCTGTCCCAAAAAATAAATAAAAAACGTTGAAAAAAAAAAATTAAAAAAAAAAAAATAATGTTACTTTATCAACAAGTGACATCTTATCAGAAAAGCTTTCCCTGGTCACCCTGTGTGAGATTTCGCCTCTCTCCAAGCCTCATATTTTTTTATTTGTTTTTCACCGACTCCCATCCTTTGGGATGTAGCTTCCTTCGAGGCTGGGTTTTAGTTGACTGTTCATTGTGTGCCCTCAGCACCTACAACTGCATTTGGCTCATAGCAGAACCCAGGAAATGTTTGCTGAACAAATGAATCTCCAGCTCTGAACTTGGTTCAGTTTTTCTGACCGGCTAAGTAGATTATCTTTGTCCTTTGTCAGTCTTCTTTTCCTAAAGTTGGGCCTTGACTAAAACAGAAGAGGACCATTCTACAGACAAGGAGACACACACACACACACACACACACACACACACACACACGCATGTACGTATACAGAGAGAGATCTGTATATCTGTGTATCTAATCTCTAAAGAAAATAAACTCAAGCTAAACAAGGTCATCTCCCCATTATCAACTGAAGAAGGAACCATACCCAAAGTGGCACTTGTATTTCCTCGAAATTCATTCTTGCAAAGTCTCATGAGGAAACTAGACTTCCCCACTGCAGCATCTCCAGCAAGCACAATCTTGTAAGCCTTCTGTGAGCTGGAAGATTTATGGTTACCATCCACCATGTCTGTCTAGGGGACAAAAGCCACAGTGGGTGATAAAGGTCATGCCAGTTTTCTTCCTAAAAAGTTATATGACACCGAAAATTCACAGTGTTCATGAATAAAATACCTCAGCAACTACCTACCGGTGGTGACAGTGCCGAGATGGGCTTTCTCGAAGAACTGACAATGCTGCCTTCGCTAGAGGGCCCCTGGGGCTTCCAGTCCAAGATGGAAGCCACGCCTTCTGCACCAAACGTCTCTTCATCTCTTATATCAGGAACCTAATTTTTTTTTTAAGGCAGCGATTAAAAAACAAAGTCTCTCATTACACATATACCTCATGGATTAGAGAGAAGAAAAATAAGTAGCTGAATCTATAGTCAGTGCTGTTAGGGAACAGAGTAGCCCCGAATGGCAATCTGTGAGAATTTCTTCCCAACTTGGTGGAGGGAAAAACCATTCGGCTGACTATGTTTCATGTTTATAACCGTTAAGTCGTATTCCCATGACGGATACAAGTCAAATGGGGTGACAGATTTCTATCAAAGGTAAGGCCCAGGAGACCATGATTTCTGGGGCTTACGTCTGTGTCTGAAGCATCGCCCGCAAAGCTCTCCTGCGTGCCGTGTGACCTCTGAAGTCCCCTCTGGTGCTTGTACTCCACCTCTGAGTCGTACTCATTGGAGTCTCTCAGGGTAGACAAGCCGCTGTCGAAGCAGCTCTCAGGCAGGCTGTCAACCTCACAATTCATTCTCTGCATTGGATCACAGAGGGCCAACGAGTCACAGTCCTCATCCACATAGGAAGAGCGGGATGACCTGGTGACAAAGGGGAAGAGAGATTTACCAGAGAGCTCACAAAGCTCAGGACCACACAGCAGTGGACTCCAGAAGATCAACACTCTAGCTTTGGCCAAGAACCACAATGTATTCCATGATTATGCATCATGGGAAACAAAATGTTCAAAGCAATATCAGTTCATTCCATGCAACAATTAGTTAACATAAAGATACTCAAATCAAACATTTAACAAAAATGAAGCTGTTTTTAAAACCACTTTATTTCCTGATACAAAAGGAATTACAGTGTCCAGGGCATAAATGCAATCTCAAGTTAAGAAAAATGTATGCAGAACATGTGAACCTTTTTACTCTGATGTGTTTGGACCATATTCCAAACAGCTTGTCCATTTCTGGATAACTCTCTACTTAAAAGAGATGCTGAGAACCTGGACAGCGAAGGCATCTATGGTGACATGAGACTCAGATGCAAGAAATAGTTCCGTGAACTCAGCTTAAGTCTCGTGAACTCAGCTTAAGTCTTAACAGTTTCTCTCCTCAAATACTCAAAGAGCGACACATAATGAAGAAGAATACATTCTCTCAAGTTGCACAAGACAAAATAAGGGCCAACTGATAAACTTTTCCAGGAGTCATACTTCTAAACAACATGGTGAAAAATGACAGGCAATTAGAAAGGTATGGTACTGGAATATGACCTGGGAGTTTTCTGCCAGTAGGTGTTGATACAGAGTCTAGAAAGACTCCTATAGGAAAGGTACTTGGATAAAGGCTAGATCCCCTGACTTCTATGGATGTTTCCATTTATCAAACTCTCTAACATCTTATAAGTGAGGCAGAGATTAACATCAAACAGGAGAATCAAAAGAAACCACATTATTTCCCTATATACTTTTGCTTTTCCATTTGATTTTCACAAAAACCTAAGTTTATGTTGAAATAAAAGCAAGGGCTATAACTCATTTAGTCACCACTACACTCTGGGGACCATTCTGGCCACTTGGCATAGACCATCTCATCAGAATGGAGAAATGGGCAGGGTATATAAGTGTACAGAGATAAAAATATTAAGAGATTAATATGCTTAGAAAACAGAAGGTGATCTCAAATATAAGTAAATATAAGCCATATAAATCTGAGAACTCAAAAATATTTTGGTGCCATTAGCAAATGTGTCAAATTAATTAAAAAGGTAGTAACTTAAACCACCAAACTCTCCCTAAATATGTTGCTCATATCCTGGGGCATGTATTCACACCATATCTGTAGCTAGCTATCTGTGTGTGTGTGTGTGTGTGTGTGTACATTTTCTTGTTGTTTTATAATTTATGAAACTCTCTTTCCAAAACTGATTTAGGTAACACTATAAGGAAACTAAGAAAACCATACTCATAATATAATACAAACTACTTCAGCTCCATGTAATTATTGATCAGAGCTTTTTTTAAAAACTTATTCAGATTTTTGATAAGGAATGAAGAAGTGAAATCCTGAATTGAGAAATCACTTCCATGAATATCTAGACTCCAAATTAAAAATATAGGTACAGATCAGACTTTCTCAAAATCAAGTTCTAGACATACTCTTTTAAAAGTAAACTATTCTTACTTCCCCAAAGAATATTTTCATCATAATTAAATATGTACAAATATAGAACAAGTCATATTTTTGTTACAGATCTTAGAGAAAACACAAAACTAAAACAAATAGACAAGTTAAAACCCAGTAAGGCCACAAAAGCAATAAAATTCACAATGTGCTTTTGAGTTTTTATATTAGCATCAAAAAGTAAATTTAAATGTTGATTTCTTACATCAAATTAATGACCCTCCAAAGGGGACATCAGTCCAGACCCCACTGGCCCACTGGTTCCTATTCAGGGTGATGAGCACCTGAGTGCTATGCTCTTATCTCTCTGAGCCACAGGCGTGTGATGACTTTGTCCCTTAGAACCTACTGTTGAGGAGTTCTTAGTCCAGTACTATTCAGTCTTACCCATAGTGTGTAATCTTTTCCAGAATGAACTATGGTAAAATTTCTGAAATTATTTTCAGTTATATATCTTTTCCCTTATGTGCTTAGAATTGATCTTAAATATCAGTCCAGAAAAAGCACATTGCACCCACACATTGTTAAAAAGAAGGAGCCTGGGTGGCTCAGTCGGTTAAGCTGTGCTGACAGCTCACAGCCTGGAGCCTGCTTCAGATTCTCCCTCTCTCTGCCCCTCCCTTGCTCTCTCTCTCTCTCTCAAAAAATGAACATTTAAAAAAAAATTTAAATAAAGATGAAAAATGTCTACTGCTTAGTAACAGAGCAACCAAGTTGCCTACACGTCTATAAACCATCCACATTTATTATTTCACAAATCAGTGAGCAACAAAACTTCTGATACCTGGATAGAATTTTCCTAAAAGTGACCACCAATAAGCCTTGGTAACAGACCTTTCTGAAAGGGGACCTGACCATCTTGCTATCTCTGGGATAGTAAGTACATTATTCTTGAGAACAAAAGTTCTCAAATGCAAAGGGAATGAACATGAATTGGAGGGTTGCACTGGAAATGGAGAGCTGGAAACCTAGAGTTTATGTGCTCACTTCTATTTACAAACTTTGATACACTCCAAAGTTAACTTTTTAAGTACGACAAAGGACATATGTGTTTGTACACACATGTATACATACATGTAACCTTTCAGTCCTTATCACTAGATCTCAAGCTAGGACCAATATTTCACTTCATATGATTCAGAATAGAGGTAAATTCTCACTTCAGCTTCAATACAATAGCTCACCAACACCTACTAGTCATATTTCTATTTGTTTTTAAAGTTTCCCTGCCCTTGAACACAGCTTACATATTATGCTGAGCTATTAAACATTTACAGATCACGCCAAGAGTCTCAAAATCATATACCACACGTACATCAACATCCTACACTGTAATTCCATTTATTTCCCTGAAACAGCACTCAGAGTCCATTTCTTAGGAACACGACATGATGAGGGATGAGGTAATGGGGAGCACATGTAAAATCAAGTCATGATAACATCTTAAGGAAACTACTTTGCCCTCTCTGGGACATTTTTACTTGGAATTTTTACAGGTTTCAGAAATTTACAATGACATAGCAGAAAATAGAAATTTGTGCCCAAAGTAGATTCTACTATTTTATTAATTCACCTTTAAGGAAATTCACTTTCCTTTTAACTTTGATCCAGAATTCAAACAAAAAGTAAGTAGGTGTTAACATACCTGTCATAGCCCAGAGGTTGAGGGGAATGACCATTAAATTTGGGACTGCTTCTAGAAATTGTATTCCCTGGTGATATATTATTTATGCGCTGCAATACAAAAAATATATAAGCAATTTTTTGTTATGCCAGGTACATATAGTACATATACATATACACATATATACAACACACTAGTTAACTTCCACTGTAATTCAAATCTTGGTATCCTACATGAGTAAGTGTTGAGTACGGACGCTGAGGTAAAAACTTCAACAAGGCACCTGCACACAGTACCTTTGCCTCATTGTGTCTTCAGTCCAAGCCTTACTGCATAAGCGATAAAGGGGTATCCCAGTTCCCCACATCTGCCAGGACCCTGCAATACCAACTTCTTTGGATTTCTCTCTTCTCAAACCATAATTTGGCCGAGTGACTGACCTGTCCATATGTAAAGCTACTGCATAGGAACCCCAAACTGGAAGCTGACCTCCAAAAGTGGGAGAGGAGGATTTCTGGCATGTGCCCTCTGGGGAAGTTCCTCAAATTTCCAAGAAGGGCTTAGCTTGTTTCCACAGCAGGGTTTTAAAACTAATGCCTCCACTCTGATAATCTTACCACCATAGAAAATACTTACTGTGTCTAAATGCATGCCTCAGTCAGAAGTGCGTTCTCCCTCCTCAGAAATGAGCAGTATTTTCTTTGTACTTCTATAAGATTTCCCACTTTTTCTTATATTATTGCCATCCATGCACATCTTAACTCCCCACTACATTATAAACTCTTCTGGGACCCAGGTCACACTTTATACATCTTTCTCTGGTTTCCCTGAACATCTAACAGAGAGTCAGTTAACATCTAGGTATTTATGTCTACAGAGGGGTGGCATATTTTTTAATTTGGGAAAATGTTGCTTCTTCTCATTAAATGGAATAGTTTCTCATTATTGTAAGTTCCCCTTTAAGAAAATACATGATTTGTGGGGTGCCTGGGCAGCTAAGTCCATTAAGCAAGTCTGACTCTTGGTCTTGGCTCAGGTCATGACCTCACTGTTCATGAGTCCAAGCCCCACGTCGGGTTCTGTCCTGCCAGTGGGGTCCTGCTTGAGATTCTCTCTCTTCCTCTCTCTCTACCCCTCCCCTGTTCATGCTTGCTCTCTTTCTCTCAAAACAAACAAACAAACAAACAAAATACTTTAAAAAGAAAATACATTATTTTCATCAAAATATCCCACTACAAGAAGGAACAAAATGTATTCTAAAATTCTACTTGCGGGGCTCCTGGGTGGCTCAGTCAGTTAAGTGTCTGACTTCAGCTCTGGTCATGATCTTACGGTTCGTGAGTTCAAGCCCCACATCAGGCTCTGTGCTGACAGCCCCGAGTCTGGGGCCTGCTTCAGATTCTGTGTCTCCCTCTCTCTCTGCCCCTCCCCCACTCACACTCTCTCTCTGTCTCTCAAAGATACATAAATGTTAAAATTAAAAAAAAATAAAATAAAATTCTACTTGCATACCAAAGATCTGTTGAACTTGCTGTAACTGTTTTCAAGGGCACTCCTCAGGCCGTCATTACTGTCATGCAGTTTCCGGTTAGCTGTTCTACAGAGCAAATAAATTAAATAGATAGATAAGGAAAGTGGGGGTGAAAATCACTGCCTTTGCAGGCTCTCATGTTCATTCTATGGAATTACTTACCACCTCTTGCAACTTTGTACCACTCCCCTTCAAACCTCATCAACTGAGATCATAATTCATTACTAGAACTACAACTTGGTGAATCACCTCTCTTTTAAAGGTTTGGAGGCATTTAAGGAAGGAATTAGCTATGCTGTGGAATCCCCTCCCTCAGGTAGGTTCACAGTGTGAGTAGGTTTCCTGCAGGTCTCTGTTCCCTAAGTGCCTGGATCCAGCTGGCCCCCTGCGCGTGTCCCAGCCAGGTGTGGATGCGATGTGTTTTATCACACTTCTTTCTCCTCCTGGCTATTCCCACATCCTACTCATGGCCTGCCACTGCCCAGGTACCAGTTAAGGTTCCAATGTTGACTGTGGATTCAAATCCCAACACAGGCATGTACTTTCCATATAATTTATGGGAGTCATTTAAGCTGTCAAAGCCTCGGCAACCTCTTCTAAAAAATGAGGACAATAACAGAGACCCTGCCTGAGAGCAGCCAATCTTTTCCTACTGAAGGCTTATCCATCCTTCAGATCTCAGCTCAACTGCTGCACCTGCCAGAACACTTTCTGGACCTTCCTGGTTAGGAGGAAGCTCTGTCCTGTATGCCCCTGGGGGACACGTCCCTTTCCTCTGTCCCACCTCCCCTGCAGCACTTTATGTTTGTTTCTATAATTATTGATCAGTTTCCATTCTCTTTCCCTAGATGAGCCCCATATCTAGAGAGACTTTTTTTTTTCTTTTCTTTTTACTTGTACTCCATCCTCAGCTCCTGGAACACCTGACCCATAAAAGGTAACGAATGTAAATCTGCTGAATGAATGAATAAATGAACGAACAGAGTTACTATGTCAACCCTCCTGTACCTGCTACAGGTGAGAATTAATAAGCATTGTAAATGGTGAAAAAAACAAAACAAAACAACAGGGGCGCCTGGGTGGCTCAGTGAGTTAGGCATCTGACATCGGCTCAGGTCATGATCTCAACGTTCGTGAGTTTGAGCCCTGCATTGGGCTCTGTGCTGACAGTTCAGAGCCTGGAGCCCGCTTCAGATTCTGTGTCTCCCTCTCTCTCTGCCCCTCCCTCACTCACACCCTCTCTCTCACTCT